TAATTATTTCACTAACTACACATACAATAATCCAAATATAATTTACTTGGTATTAAAAATAATAAAAAATTTTAACATGAACGCGAAAAAATGTTAACGGGTAACTAAATCTGCTCTGTAATTTTTTTTTTTGCTACAAAATGTTCGGTAACGTTAAAAAATAGGGCTGTGAATAGAATAGACTATCTGTCATTAAGCCGGGCCCAGAACAATCGAACCATCTCGACAGGATGTAGGCCGATGCTTGCATATTTTTCTCTTTAAGTATTAGGTTAGGTTAGCAGGCTACCTCCGTAGATGGAAGCCCACTTAGACACGACTAAGTTGTCCGCTGTGATGCCCTTAAGAGCGGTGAGCGTGAGAGTAGGAAAATAGGAGGGAGGCAAGAGAGAACAACAACACCTATGGCTTCTTTGAAGAGAAAAAGCTTTTCAAGCGGCTGATGTCCATTCCCGAAAGCTCATAGGGAGTGTTAAAAAAGTGCAACCCATGGTGCTTAAACCTTAGGCTGACAAAGGCAGGGCACCAGAGCAGCAGGTGTTGAGATGATTCCACCTTATCATCCCGCATTCAGCTTGCTTATCTCAAAAGCTCCCCAGACCGCAGGGGTCTACACGAGGCCCGAAGGATTTTGCCACCTTGCATTCCAAGGTCTTCACCCAACGCTCGCGGAGCTGACCTAATGCCCACCTGTCCAGAAGCAAACCACACGAGGTCAGGGGAACTCCTAGCCCTTCTCTATCTGGAAGTAATTCCTCAAGGGTTCCCTGTCTTGCCAGCTCATGGGCCATGCAGTTTCCACCGATCTCGCTGTGACCTGGAACCCAAATAAGCTTAATGTCGAAGTAATCCGACGCGGTTGGTAAGGAAGTCAGACACTCCCCCACCGTTCTCGTATGCACCGGCAAAGAGCCAAGTGCCTTGATAGCTGCTTGGCTGTCGCAATAAATATCCATCTCCTTAAAAGCTATTTCAATATTGTTTTTTATTGGGACCACCTCTGCATGGAAGACGCTGCAATAATTCAGTAGCCTAAATTTCTGGCTGATGGAGAGTTCTTAGCCGAAGACACCTCCACCTGTTTTCCCATTCAGCTTCGATCCATCTGTACATAAGTTTATAGGACCCCGAAATATCTATTCGTGTTCAAAACCGGCGTGCAGTGGTCAGTCCGAGTCGATAGGAATCCGAAGCCTTTGAGTATGCTAGAGTGCCCATAGTTCGAGACGAACTTAAAGCCCACCCCAAGTAATTACTTTTTTACTTAATTTTCCTATCAAATTGAGCTTGCAGAATTGTCAAGACCAACCATAAGATAGTGCACAAACGATGCCCGATATTGGTAGAGGAATTCAACAATGTTGAACCTAAATCAGAAAATTTTACTCATTTCTTATCATAATAATCCACTTAATATGGTCTGGGTTACACGCAGCTCATTTAGCGTCAGGCACCTTTTTTTTGTCAATATAGCGTTTATTCACTCCCTTTTATCGTACAAAGGACTGGCTCGTACATCCCGTAAACTCGTTGTTTCAAGCTTGCGTCCGATCTTGCTCTATGGAGCCCTTTTCCGGTGGACTACCTTTAGTAAATCAACAGCGCTTCAACAACACAAAAGGGTGAAATGGAGTGCAGAGATTTGCATAAGCGGAGCTCTATGCTTTTCAGCAACTCAAGATATGACGTAATTGCTCTAGGGATAGCCGTTATTTTAGCCTTAAGGCTCAGAAAGGTAGGTTCCTAGACTCATAGTGCATCTGGCCACTCGAAAATCTTAGAACGCTGGCACCCACACCGATATCTGTAAGAAGTAACTACCGCATACCATCAAATACCAAAATCTATAAAATTGCCACACCAACTCGACAGGACTGGAGCACAAGGTCCCAACGCATGCGAAACGTTATAAACATGTATACTGATGGCTCCAAACTCGGCGGAAAGGTCAGAGGAGGACGAGTGTTCTCACCTTACCTGAAACTAAAAATATCTTTTCGGCTTTCTGACCACTGTAGCATATACGAGGCACCTAATAAGAACATCCAAGGAGAAAAGACAGGTATTTATCTTCTCTGGCAGTTAAGCAGCTGTGGGAGCGCTAGTTAACGACGCTAACCTAAACACTAGATACATACACATATACATATAATCATTATTCACGAACCAAAATACATACAAACAACTATATGCCCTTTCACCTTGTATGATAACATAATAACAAAGAGAATACGATAGACAAGTATAAACCCGTAAACATCTTTTTAATAACATAAACAATTATATTCGGTGATAAGTAACAAAGCATTATGATAACATAATGCTAAACATGTAAACATCTTTTTATCACCAAACAAACAATAGTTAGAAATAGTATAAATAGATGTAAGTGTAAAAATGGAAAACAGTTCTGGAAATAAAACGAGACTGAAATAAACTCTTGTGTACTTTTAATTCCTAACAAGGACTCATAACTGGGGGCTCAACCGAACCTTAAGCCATTTTTCTATGTAAAAGGAATAGAGAAAACTAAATCCACGGGAAGAAAGACTTCCGGCACTACACGTTGAAAAAAGTGCTAAAAGAATCAACGAAAATCAAGTATAGATCCTGAAAAAACGGAATAATACTGATAACATAAACCGAAATCAACGGAAATCAAGTGAAAAAAACACAATCAAGTGTGCAAATAATAAAAAAACTCTGAAAATTTTAAACAAAAAAGTGAAGTGAAAAACCTGGATACCTTACGGAGACTCCGGAGAGGAAAAAAGCAAAAATCCTACGACGACTACAGAAATCTAAATAAATTTACAATGGAGCAACAACTGGCCCAACTAAATGCCCAGTTCACCACACTGATGAACGAGATGCAGCGACAAACAACGGAATTCACGGAGAGAATTGCCGCACTAGAGCAACAAAACGCTCCGGAAGAATTAGTTTTATACGAAGAAGTAAAACTAAATATTACTGACGCCAAGGATATCGACCTGGAGCTATTCAAATCCCTACCAAAATTTGACGGGGACAAAGTACAATACCGATCATGGAGATCACAAGTGTGGGCATTCATGGAAGCTATAAAGATCTTCCAAAATCACCCTAAATATTATAGTGCCCTGGGAATAATGCGGACAAAAATTACAGGACCCGCTGCTAACGTCCTTACGAACCACAACACCAAATTGAATTTTTATTCAATCATTAACAGATTGGATTACACATATGCAGACCAACGCCCACTATATGTGCTTCTTGATGAAATGAAGCGAATCACACAAGATAGAAAATCCCTTGCAGAATTCCACAGTGAGGTTTCAAAGGCACTCAATTTAGCCCTATCAAAAATTGAGATGTCCAATAATGACAAAGGGATGATAGCATACGCTAACCAAGAGGCAGTGAGGACGTTTATTCTTGGGTTAAACTCCAAATATACAAGCGGCACATTGTACAGCCATAACCCAGAGAATTTGGAATCGGCATATGCGATAGCCTGTACCATTCTCCATGACAATGAGAATGCGGAATTCGAGACACGGCCCAGACTAGGAAGTAACAGCAGACAGCATCAACACAGCACAAACCGAAACACCTACTCACAACATAAAGAGGAAAGATATTACAAGCCAAACGTAAGGATGCAGAATCACAACTACCAGGCAAGGAGTTTTAACCAACAACAACCACCACAGCGACAACAACAACCCACACCTACTCCAATGGACATAGACCAATCCAGACAATTCATGCAGACAACCAAGTACAATAATGCCGTAAGTCAAAATCCTTTTAAATCAAACCATGTATATAAAAGAGATAGGGCATCTAGCTACAATAACGCCACTTCTCCGCCAGATAGGAAGTTCCAAAGAATTAACCAATTAAATAGAGAAGATCTAGAGTCAGTGGATGTACCTAATTATGAAGAACAATTTGAAACAGGCAGTACTTTTTTAGGCGAATAAACGGGTTGCCTTGCTTAGAAACAAAATGCGGCCTAACCGGCACACCCGTTACCTTATTAATTGACACAGGCTCCACTAATAATTACATTAATATAAATTGTAATATAGGAAAATCTATTAAATTAAAACCATTTAAAACCAAAACCTTACATGGTTATTCAATTGTAAATTCTAAAAAAGTTATAACGATGTACGGGCATCATTTAACGTTCTATGAAATAAGGGAACTAAACGACTTTGACATGATACTCGGAGAACAGGGATTACGACAAATGAAGGCAGAAGTTAGGTTATTTGACTATAGCTTGAAGTATCAGAAGAAGAAGATCCTGGCAGTAGAACCAAGGATTAATTATACAATAAATAACGAAAAATTTAAAGACCAGGTGGAAGAGCTAATGAATAGAAATAATAATACAAATGGTAAATTACCTTTTACAACCACAATACAAGCAGCTATCAAGACCGAATCGGAAGACCCTATATGGACAAAACAATACCCATATCCCATGTCCGATCACGACTTTGTCAAGAAAGAAATTGAGAAATTCTTAAACGACGGTATAATACAACCAAGCAAAAGCCCATATAATTCACCTATATGGACTGTACCAAAAAAGGGCACCGATGACCAAGGCAAGCCCAAACGGAGAATGGTTGTTGACTTCCAAAAGATAAATTCTCATACGATTACTGACAGATATCCAATTCCAGATATTAATATGACAATACAAAACCTCGGAAAAGCCAAGATTTTTTCCACAATAGATTTAGAATCAGGGTTTCACCAGATTTTAATTAAAGAACCTGATCGAGGAAAGACAGCATTCTCTGTCAACGGCGCAAAGTATGAATTTATCAGAATGCCATTCGGGTTAAAGAATGCACCCTCCATATTTCAACGATGCGTTGACGACATCCTTAGAGAGTATATCGGAAAGTTCGCGTATGTTTATATTGATGACGTACTAATTTATTCATCTACACCAGAAGAACATATGGAATACATCCGGATTATAATTAACGCACTCCATAATGCTAACATGAAAATTTCTGACGAAAAGTCAAATTTTTTCCAAGATTCAGTTGAATACATTGGACACATTATAAAACATAATAGAATTACGGTAGACCCAAAAAAAATCGAAACTATAAAGAAATACCCAAAACCAAAAAATTTGAAAGAATTGAGATCTTTCCTAGGACTTGCTAGTTACTACAGGAAGTTTATAAAGGATTTTGCTAAAATCACGAAACCTTTAACGATTAATTTGAGAGGAGAATTAGGAATGGTATCAAAAAATCAAAGTGCTAAAATACCAATACAATTAGATACAGCAGCCGAAGAAGCCTTGGAAAAAATAAAAAACGCTCTACAAGAGCAAGTTGAACTTTTCCAGCCTGATTTCTCTAAACCATTTAGTCTAACAACCGATGCTAGTAATTTCGCTATCGGGGCAGTTCTGTCACAAAATCGTCACCCGATCGCATTCATTTCACGCACTCTAAGTGAAACAGAACAAAACTATAGTACCAATGAAAAAGAACTACTAGCAATCGTTTGGTCCTTGCAAAAACTTAGAAATTATTTGTATGGTGTGGCAAACTTGACAATTTACACGGACCACCAATCGCTAATATTTTCAATTTCCGAAAAAAATCCGAATGCGAAATTAAAGCGTTGGAAAAACCTAATTGAAGAATACGGTGCCAAACTTGTATATAAACCTGGACACCAGAATGTCGTTGCAGATGCGCTTTCGCGACAACAAATAAATACTTCAACGTATTGTTCCGACCATTCGCAACAAAGTTCCCCTGTAGAAATTATGAAGAAAGTTAAACAACCACTTAACGCTTTCAGAAATCAAATAATTGTGTTACAAGATAATGAAAGGAATGAAGTCCTCAGTCAAACAATATTTCCTGGTCGGTTTAGACATACAATATTTTATAGAGAAACCCCGGACTTACTATCTAAACTTAAAGATGTAGTTAATCCAAAAGTTACTAATGCGATAAAGATAGATGAGGAAATACTGTTTCACCTAAAACAAGAAATTAGCTCCGCCTTCCCAAATTATAATCTAGTGCTAGCCCAAAATAAGTTAAACGACGTAACTTCTCCAAACGAACAAAGAGAAATTGTCACACAAACACATAAACGTGCACATAGGAACTACAAAAATAACACGCAAGAAATATTGTTGATTCATTACTGGCCCAATATTAAAGAAATGTGCCGTAAACTAGTCATAGGCTGTGAAATATGTCTACAGCACAAATACGAAAGGCAACCAAATAAACAACCTATTGGAAAAACTCCAATACCAACAAAAGTAGGAGAGTACATACAGATGGATATTTTCCATATTAATAATAAACAATACCTTAGTTCTACAGATAGATATTCCAAATACTGCTTCTTACGAAAATTGGACACAAAGACAAACTGCCACGAATACATAGAAGAAGTACTCACACAAGTCTACCCAAATGCCAAGTACCTCATGACTGATAACGAAAGTATATTTAAGAGCAACATAACGAAATTCTTGTACAGCCGGCTACAAATAACACACTCAGTTACGCCTGTACATCATTCAACATCAAACGCTCAAGTTGAACGGATACATAGCACTCTAATTGAACTTTGCCAAAGTTTAGCTGCAGAAAATAATACTGCTCCCGGTGACGAATTATTCAACGCAGTTCGCCAATACAATAGGACGATACACTCCACAACAGGATATAAACCCGAAGAGGTTTTTTACAACCGAGACAAATATCCTAATATCAAGGACATACTTGTGGATAAACAAGAGAGACTACTCAGGCACCATAATAAAAAAAGGAAAACCATTATATACAAACCAGGTGATATAATTTATAGTCGAACAGATCGGCGTAATAAACTTGCAACTAAGTACAATAAACATAAAGTAAAAGAAGATCGTGGGGACACAATCCTAACAGCGAGGGGGAAAATCATACACAAGGATAGTATAAGGAAAACTAGCACACCATGCAACGAATAGGCTTCTTAATTTTAGTAATAGTTACTCACGGATTTTGCGATAAAATAACAGATTTGGCTGGTAAAAAATATGTTCTTACTGAACTAGATACTGTGTATACCTATGAGAGTTCATCATTTCTTTACCACGTGTCGAATTTATGCATAATATTAGAACCATATGAACGAATTGTGCGAAGCAAATATGAATCAACTCAAATCGATGAAAAAGATATAATAATTGATAAAATAGAAACTTTGAAATCACAATTAATACCATCCGAGTATCGTGCCAAACGTGGCCTCAATTTTTTAGGTTCCGCATTAAAATTTATAACAGGAATACCAGATCACGATGATCTTGTCGAAATTAAAACAGGAGTGAACCAGCTTATAGAAAATAATAACCAGCAAAGGAAAATAAATTCCCGCTTTGAAAAAATTTTAGCAAAATTAAATACAGAATCAATTTTTGATCAGTCAATACTTACAGAAGTATATAACGAACTAGTAACTATAACAAATACCATTAACTTCGCAAAAACAGGAAATTTCTATTCTGGCACACTTAATTTTAGAGACGTACAGCAGGTAATAAAAAACGAAATATATGACATTCCAATAATAAATGTACTAGAATATTCCGATATACACATATGTACCTTTAATAAAACTATTATTACAATCTATAAATATCCCATAATAACAAATAAATGTAAAATGTACAATTTAACCCCATTAGCCTTTAAATACGGAAAATATCAACTTCATAATAGAATTGCCTTGTGTAATAATAATTTCACCAATTTATCAAAATGCAAAAATTATGTAGGAATACATATTTGTAAAAAAGAACCAAGGGATAATTGTACTATTCCGTTGTTATTAAAACAAAAAGCCCATTGTAATATTATCCAAGAAAATAACTCTCCCTTACAAATATTAGATAATGGTAATATTCTTATCTACAACGAACACACATGGAACGGAATTAGGGTAAATGGCCCACATTTAATCCAATTCAATTCCAATACAACTATTGATAATAAAACTTATATTAACCATAAGCAAGAAATAAAAAATGTAATACATGCTTATCAGAATGAAAGGGTTAATGTACTAAGAATTTTAAACTCTGAATCCGATTATAAATTTACTAATATACAAGAAATGTATAAATTATTTTTACCAATTGAAGAACATCCTTGGAAATTTACCTTATATTTAATCATGATCATATTTATATTAGCTTTAGTCACTTACTTAATTATAAAATTATATACATGCCGACAAATACAATTAAACACCAGGCGCCAAAGAGAGTTCGAATTAGCTTATCTAACCGAGTTACAACGATTGCAAACCCTAAGCCGTTCAAATGAGGACATTCCATTTTCAACACAGGGGAGAGTTAACGACGCTAACCTAAACACTAGATACATACACATATACATATAATCATTATTCACGAACCAAAATACATACAAACAACTATATGCCCTTTAACCTTGTATGATAACATAATAACAAAGAGAATACGATAGACAAGTATAAACCCGTAAACATCTTTTTAATAACATAAACAATTATATTCGGTGATAAGTAACAAAGCATTATGATAACATAATGCTAAACATGTAAACATCTTTTTATCACCAAACAAACAATAGTTAGAAATAGTATAAATAGATGTAAGTGTAAAAATGGAAAACAGTTCTGGAAATAAAACGAGACTGAAATAAACTCTTGTGTACTTTTAATTCCTAACAAGGACTCATAACTCGCTAGACTCCGCAGATCTCTAACCGAAATGGTCCAGCTTTATACATAGAATACGATTCACATGGAACACCTGGATACCGCGATATTGAGGTTAACTTTAAAGTGGGCGAACGAATTCTTACAGATCACTGTCTAATCGGTGTACATTCTTAGAGTTTAGTAGTAGACGCGCCGGACTATTGTAGTACAGATGCGAAGAGGGAGAGGAAAATGTATAGCGCCTCGTCTGCCAGTAACCGGCAATTAGCAGAAGATGACTACATACGCTTGGAAAGCCATATCTACAAAACCTTGTGGAGATAAGAAAAAAAATTGGAAGGCCTGGTTAAGTGAAGCCATCCTTTGAAAGGCTTTTCCTGTTTACATTTTACGCGAATGTTTAAATTTATATTATTTTCCACAAATTTGAAATGAACCTTAAATAAATAACTTCAAGATGTATGGTTTTCATGAATTAAATTAGCAACATTCTACTGCAGAAGATATTAAATTTGCGCAGACTGAAGGGTCTCTTAGCTCTCAGTAAGTACCTTCTAACGGCTTTTACCTCCTGAAATTATCTACTGGGAAATGAAAGCCAGAGAGCGCAAATCACGTCAAGCGAAATGGCATGCCAAGCATTTCATTTTCACAACTTTGTGTTTGTAATTAAATGTTACAGCAATGAGAGTGACGACTGTCAGCCTCGAATGGACAAAGTGAAACAAAACCGACTGTTTAATTGACTACTTTCTGACTTCTGTTAGTTGTTGACGCCGGCAGCGTTGGACCTAATTTCGAGCTACCCCAACGAATGTTTTTCTATGTGAAAACTCTTCTGGAAAAACTGCTTGCTGCGAGTCAAAGTTCGCATTCACTGCAAGTTAATTTGAATGTAAATGAAGAGCTAAGGACTTTTGCTAATGTTTCAATTAAGTGTAGAATTTAATTTTGCTTTCTCTGTTTCTAAGTATTTATGTGTTCTTTCAACATTGGCGCTGTTGTTTTCGCCAAGTGTTGGTCTAGCAATTTGGCAAGTTTATTAGCCAAAGCAGCGTCTCTCATCAAGTCATTACCTCTGTACTTATTATGTAGATACTTTTCTTTCTATTTCAGTAGAGTTGCTTTTGTATTGTCTACGCATTCTTGCAGTCCACCACCCCTTCATAAGCGGTTACTGGCATAACGAGTAATTTCATTTAATTGACCTTCAGCTGCCTGCACTCATTGAAGAGAGTGGATTCTTATAAGCAATGC